CATATTCTTTTCAATGTACTTGCTTATAACTGTCCCTACTAAGCTGACTACCTTCTCTCGGTGTGTCATACATGGACATGATATAGCGTAAGCGGTGTTCAGTTTTTGAAAGCGTTTAATGACCGTTTGTTAAAGGAGTGGTTTTACTCAGATCTCCCTAACTATTTTCTTGCAACCTCACATCATCTTACCTTGTACTAGTGGGTACTCGACAGGATTGTTAACACGTCTTGATATCATGAGCACTATCAACCAATCTTGGTGTGGAGTCCTTGTTCTCTCTTGTAACTATCACAGAAGAGAACTGGTGGAACATTTCTTCTTTCAGCGTGTGGATGGGCTACTCTTCTTCTCGTTATCCACCGTGTGATTTCTATTTCCGTGAATTTATCAGATAGAAAGAAGAAGATCATCCTGATAGTCTTCTTCTCTCAGTTATTCGTCCAGAGCATTGCTATTGTGGTCGGAGGGCTTAACGTTGAAGATGGGGGGGAGAAAGCTAAAGCTATCTGTATGGAGGTGATAGATTTCTCATTTCAGTAGAACATTCCATATTCAGAAGTTGGAAGACTATCCCAAAGAGATGGATACTTTTCATGGGCTAAATTTTGCTTACTCGAGAGGTAAAGCATTCACCCGAGCTGTCGTTTGTGCCGCTTTATGTACTGTCTATTATTTGACATGTACAAGTATTTGTGGAATAATTCTGGTTCTTAGCATCAGGAGGCATGCGAAATCTTCGCAGTCCACTCAGTTCTTAGCCAAACAGCGTAAAATCACTATTGGCATCATTTATTTCGTAAGAGAGATAATCGAGTGAAGTTCAGAATCTTCTATTAAGGGTATCATCAAGATAGTCTCGGTGGGAGTTCCTATTGCCATCCTGATAACTTGTAGCTGTTTAAATATAGGGAGTGTCGGTACAGTTGCCGTTATACTATCAGTTCTTTGTTTTGTTCTCGTTTTTAGGTGTCTCACATTATGCAACAATCAGCGTTGGTCTTTATCCCATGATTGGTCCCTACTACGTGTTGTTGTCGAACCCTGAATATCGGAAGAGAGTAATTGAGATAACAACACGAGGTATCATCTATGATCTCATTGTATTACTAAGGAACTTTACAGCTCGAAAAGTAACTATTCTTCAACCTGTAAGTATAAGCGCATAGTCTCTCCCTGCCTATCTTCACATATCCCATCATCTACTCGATATGAATGACTGGTTCTACTTCTCAACCACATCTTTCTTCTTCCCTCTCTTCATTGAAAATGTTCACGAACTCTTTGGGAGGTTTTGTTTCTCCCCATTGCTCGCTTTTGTAGTTACTCGAAATGTGTTCAAGTAAACAAGCCAGCTGATGATCTCTGCGAAACAGCTACGACAATATAGTTTCAACATATATAGGTTCTGAGAAATGAAAAAAAACTGTTTCAATAGAAGGGTCTCTTTATGTTTCAATTACAAATATGATCACAATGTAAAACTTTCTGAATACGTTTTGGAATCAGTTCCACAAGACTGCTTGAGAGGAGCTGGAACACGAAGAGATGACTATAAAGAAGGGGTTGAGGCACCCTAGTTTGACCAGTTGTTCTCAATTCTTCAATATAATAGCTGAGAGGAAACAAGCCGTTGGTTGTTTCTGTAGTTTACATTATACAAAGGCGGGAAGGGAAGTAAAAATGATTTTTTTTGAGTAGCCTCGCAACCCTCAGAGTAACTGATGGTCTAGCAAAGTTCTGGTGATTGTCGAACTTCTCTCGAACGCTTGAAACGCTTAATATAATTCACTGTCATATATGAGATAGAGAAAGAATATAAAAGCAAAAACAAAATGAATTTGTTACTGGTTATAACATGAGAGGATATCTATTTGTATCCGGGAGTTCTCTTCTGGGTAGTTGGAGTAAATGAGCGGACAAAACTCATAGCTGTTTTTTGGCTTCTCAGCTGCTAATCACCAGAATAGAAATCTCAGACGTGTCGGTTTCTCGATGAATATCTATTCTATCGTATTGTACTGCTTATCTTCCTTAGGATTTTTCATCATATTCTTTTCAATGTACTTACTCATGAATGTCCGGACGAAACTGTCTTCATTCTCTCGATTTGTCATACATGGACATGACTTGATGTGAGTAAAACCATTCAGATAGCTTTTCATGGAGGTATTTTGAAGAACTGGGTTCGCCCAACTCTACATGACCATTGGCATGCAAACCTATGTTATCTTACCATGTGCCAGTTTGTACAACGCAGGTATACTTACTCGTTTCGGAATCATCAGTACTATAAACCAACTTTGGATGATGGCTCTTCTGTTCTTAAGTAACCAACAGTGATGGAGAATGAAAGATGGAATGAACATACTTCCAGGTAGCGCAATGTTCTGTCTTCTTCTCGGTATTCATCGTGCGTTCGCTGTTTCTATGAGGTTATTGGATAACACGAAGAAAACCTTTTTGAAATGCTTTTTCATCCAATGGCTTCTGCAGATCATAGCCGTACTTTTTTTTGGTCTCCGTTTGGAAGATTCCGGGGAGAGAGGTCGAACTGCATGTATAGAGGTGGACGATTTTCCATTTCCTTGAAACGATTCTGTTTTCAGAAGGTTACGGAATATCCTGTAGAGATGGATACCTTGCAGGGCGTCAACATCATATTCACCGATAACATAGAATACATGATAGCTAGTTATTGTGTGTCCCTATTTGTTATCGTCTGCATGATCGTAGCATGTATCTGTGGGGCAGTTCTTGTTATGAGCATCAGGGATCAGGGGAAATCGTCGCAGTCTGCTCAGTTCCTAGCCAATCAGCGTAGAATTACTGTTGGTATAATCTATTTCGTAAGAAGGAAAGTATAGAGCGAAGCTAAAGCTCCTATTCAGTTAGCTGTCGAGTTAGTCGGTGTGGGCGTTCCTGCTTTTATTCTTGTTTTTTGTGCCATTTTCAACATTGGTAACCTTGGTAGACACATGGCTTTAGAGCTCTTACATTGTGCAAACCTTATTTTCAGTCGTCGCTCATTTTTCAATACTTCTAATATGCATTTATCCGATATCTGGTCCTTACTATGTGTTGATGTCTAACCCAGACTACAGCAAGAGGGTGAACGAGATCAGGGAGAATTTCTGCTCAAGGCTCTGTTCTTTCCGTTCCGGTTCTCTAGAAGGTGTTTCAGTTTTCTAAACGAGTATTTTTCAGCTAGGAAGGTGGCTTCAGTCCCGAGTGTTGAAACCGTGACTTCGATCTGAGCAATTGAAGAACTTTGTGTCTCTCATCGGAGAGAAGTTCATCTCTGGACCAACTCCTATCTGATACTGTCCAACGTCATTTGTTGTATAAATTTTTGTTTATGAGGAGCGTGATTGAAACTATAAAGATCTTTTTCTATCATGTCGATCTCTGACTATGGAACGGAGCTTCTTTTGAAGTCTCAGTCATACCTACATCTCCAGCCATCGCGAAGCAACATGCTTATCATATATTTAATCATATCTGGCTATTTTTCTAGTTTTATGATTCCCTAGAGAGAGTATGCAAAAAACTACCAAGAGTATATGGGCTTGTAGTCTGAGTTGTAGTTTTGACCGTGCTCCCTCCTTCCTCTTTTGTTTTGAATTTTCATTTATCTTCTACTTGCGCCGAGTTCCAGGTTATCAATTGATTTTTTGTAAGTTTTCATATCATTGACTGTCTCTTTTTAATTTTTTTTTTCTCTTCTTAGTTTTTTCCTAGATTCTGATTATACATCCTCCTTCCACTACCTTAGTCTCGGCTTCAGTTGCATTCCTTTCGTGATTCCTCTATTACTCTTCGCTGCTTCGTTTAATATTCGTTTCGTTTTTTATCGGTCAGTCATTATTGGGTTTGAGTTGATGATAAGTGTCATCCTCATTCCGATCCATGCGCCATTCGAATGACTCTACCAGAGCCCTTTGTTATGAAAAATTCGCATGAACGATGGAAGGGACCATAGAAGGCTTCTTGATTCTTATTATTTTGTTATCTTCTGGTACGGAGAGGTTGAGCGGAGTAAAGGGGTTTTCATTTTGAAACAAAAAATAAAAGACCGGGCTGACAAACAACAACTCTTCGTGAATGTGATTGGTTTCAATTACCTATATCAAACTATCACTCCTTTTATAGCTTAATTTTATTCTCTTACTAGCACCACGTTTGGTCATATCGTCATAACTCTGTGCGGATATGAAAGATGATTTCATCTAGTATCTTTTCTTGGATGAAAGTATTCTTTGGGCCTGTCCTATCGGGTAACTCAGTTCAACTTCTAATATACAACCCTTGTTATGTTCATTCATTTCCAATATATTTTTTCAATTTGTCTGCAGCTTTGATAGCGTTATTTCTTTCGAACTGTAACTATTCATATTGTAATCTCTGAATTCTAGCCCGTTCAGGGACATTCTTGAAATTCACATGCAGCAAGCGTTTCAATTCTCAGACCCATGTCTTAGAATTTCTGGCTGACGTCTCTATATGCAGCATTGTAGCAATACTACCTATCTGTGCCATTTGGAATTCAACGATCTAAGTAAGGAGATTTTCACTAGGTCTTACGAGTTTTCTCTAGTATATCCGTGATTCGCAACAGCTCGTTAGGAAATAGT